CGCTCCGGGGATGGAACTGCGGGAGAGACACCTGCATCACCCCCAGCCCCAAAAGTCCGGTGACAGATGGTGGGTTTGGAAAGCCCCTTCCCCAAGAGGTGCAACATCCCGGGGAAGGGGTCTCCAGGTGGAGGAAAGGTCCCACCACGCGCCACCCCGTTTGCCACCTCCCTCCCCATCCAAGTGCCCGAGGGGTGCAGGGGGGGGACACCGGCGCAGACCTACGTCAGTGAGGACAGGTGGGCAGCTGTCCTGGACCCAGAGGCCGGTGCATTCATGGCGGCGTGTGCATCCATCTCCACACCAGCCGCAGCCCATGAAGCGCTCGGCCCGCAGGCAGCGCTGGCACGTGGAGAAGTGGTGGCAGCCAGGGCCGGTGACGTTCAGGCGCCACACCTGGGGATGGAGAGCAGAGGTGAGTGGGGCATGTGGGGCTCAGCACCCACCCCCGCGTCCCCCCCTGGACCCCTTCGCTCACCTTGGTGCCAGCAGCGAAGAACAACGAGTCGTTCTGGAGCACCATGGCACCCTGCACCGGCACGGGCTCCCCCAGGGAGAAGTTGGCCAAGGTGAGGAGGTAGGAGCTGGAGCGCTGGAGGACCATCTGCAACAGGGCAGAGCGGGGGGCTGAGCACACCCCCCACCCTGCTGGAACCCCCCACCCTGCTGAGACCCCCCCATCCCACCTGGAATATGCGTCCCTCCGTTGTGCCCAGGTGGGCCACGGTGACGTCCCCCAGGGCGGTGACGAAGATGGAGGTGAGGAGGACACCGGCGAGGTGCCCGTTGAACAGATCCACCTTATAGGAGGTGGCGGGGACCAGGGTGGGCTTGTCCCAGCATCTGGTGTTGACCACTGGTGCTGAGAGGTTCACCTGCAGACAGATGCAGGGTGGGTGCCTCAAAGCCAGCTCCAACACCGTGACCCCTCACGGGTGGGCACGGGCTCCAGCTGTGAGATATTTTGGGGAGCACCTCGATTGCCCAGACTCCCCTCCGGGATGGGAAAACTTTGGGGGAAAAAACCATATCCGTGGCTCCTTCCGCAATCCCTGCGCAGCGTCAGATCCTGCCCTCCCCTCCCACCCCATCTGGAGGTGGTTATGGGTCAGCAGTCAGCTGTCTGCTCCGCACGTGGGAAGACGGAGGGGGGGGGATTTGGCTGCACCTCGCCCCACGCCTGGCTGAGAACACCCAAACTCGTGTCACGGGTGCTTGTCAGGACCCTGCCTGCAGAGGGGACCCTGCCGCTGCACCCACCCATCCCCATCCCCGGCCACGCTGGGGCTTGTCCCTGGGACACGGTGTTCCTGCCCCGTGGCTGCTGCGGCAGACGAGAAACTCTGGTGACTAATTGTGCTTCCGCCCGCGGTTTATTTGCCCAGAGAAGGCGGTGGCTGCGGGGCCGGGGGGGGCAAGGCGGGTGCACCGAGGCCCCGCGGCTTCCCCGTCCCCCCCACACATAAACAAGCTGGAGAGGGTGGCCATCAACAACCCGCTGGTGGGGACAGTCCCCACGGGGGCCAGAGATGGGGCAGCCACATGGAGGAGCGGGACTTTTGGCACGGTGCGTGGCAAGCGGAGGTGTGCCCGTGTGCCAGGACACGTGTCTGTGGCACACAGCGTGGGGTGCCCGGGGTGGGGAGCACTGCTGGATCCTCACCTGCACCCTACCTCCTCGCTGGGCGGCTGGTGGGGCTGACTCACACCTGGGTGATGCCTCTCTCCCCCTGCCCAACCCACCCCCCCGGGTCCACCTCACTTCACCAGTGCTTCCCAGCATCCCAGAGCCACCTCCCCACATCCCAGCTGACCCCCCAGCCCGCCCCCCTCAAGGGATGGACATGGGGCAGAGGACTCACGTTGTGCGGGCAGTACTCCTCGGGCTGGAAGAAGCTGAGCCCCCGCAGCAGGGGCTGGTGGCCGGTGCCGCAGCACTTCTCCATGCCCTCCTCCATGGCCTGGTTGAGGAGGTGGAGGGGGAAGGCGCAGACGGCCGAGTCCTCCCGCGGCACCCGGCTCTCCGGCCGGCTCTCGGCGAAGGCTCCGAAGAGCACGGTGTCGGTGTGGTTGATGCCGAGCTCGCGGGCCAGGCGGGCGCCGGGGCGGGTGGCGTGGGCGGCCTGCAGCACGTTGTAGGTGACGTCGCGCTCGGTGTCCCCTTCCACGCTGCGTCGTCGCCGTCGCCGCTTGGACTCGAAGCGGCAGTCGAGGACGAGCTCGCGGTAGCGGCGGAGGTCGTGCTCCTGGGTGCTGAGCCGTGCCAGGCGCGTGTGGTACGTCGCCGAGCCCGGCCGCTCTGGCTGCACCGTCAGGAGGTAGACGCGGTCGCCATCGGTGAAGGAGTGCACGTAGTGGATGGTGTAGTTGTCCCGGTATGGTGGCAGCACCGTCAGCCACTGCAAGTTATCCGAAAAGCCGTCCAAGGTGCCCTTCAGCCTGCGGATGGACACCGACTGCGGGCTGTACCGTGCTGCCACGCTGCTGTTGATGGTGGAGCCGAGGTAGAAGAAAGAGGCGTAGGAGGTGGCCACCACGGTGGCGGTGGTCCCCAAGGGGCTGGCCACGCAGTCGGGGCAGAACGTAGCGGTGTTGCCCCTGGCCGAGTACAGGCAGCGTGTGGTTGTGATGGCCACCTTGCCATCCTGCACCTCCAGCTGGTGCTGGTAGCACAGCCCGTGCCGCGTCGTGCCGCAGCTGTACAGCCACGGCTCCAACGGGTCCAGCAGCAGCAGGACGTTGTCCGTGTCCTCGGGACCTTCCGTGGTGGCTGGGCACAGGCGGCAGATCTCGCACTCGGAGCTGCCCACCGGGCCAGTGACGAGGACAGAGAGGACGTCCAGGTCGGGGCTGGCCAGCAGGATGCGGTTGCGAAGGGCCACGAAGATGGCAGCCGGGCCGGAGGAGTCGGTGAAGACGGCCACGTTCTGCACGGGGCTGCCGGCGTCGAGGCTGGGCAGCACGTAGGGGACGGAGAAGTTCCTGGTGGAGCTGTAGGGGATGCGGGGGCACTGCCAGGTGCCGGCACCCGGTGGGGCCAGGGCGAGCATCAGTAAGAGGAACACGCAGCACGATGGCCCCATGCTGTGCGGTGCCACCACCATGGGGTTATGGATGGTGCTCAGCACCGAGTGGGGTCAGGACGCGCGGAGGACAGGTCACCATCACATCTGCCAAGGGAAAGGAGAAAGGGTTTTACCAACTTTGGTTTGGTGAGGGGACACTGCCACAGCCGGGTGTGGGGCAGGGGGTGCCAGGGTCATCCGGGGCCAGGTGGGAGAGGAGGTGAAGAGAGGAGGTGAAGAGAAGAGGTGAAGAGCAGGAGGTGAAGAGCAGGAGGTGAAGTCAAGCTGCCTGCGGCAGGGGGGACAAATCCTGCCTGCTGCCACCTCCCAGACACCGTCACCTGCCCCCGGGGGCATCCCTGCCCTGCATGAACCCACCGAACCCCCTCCTGGGCGGACCTTGCCAGCCCCCCGGGGACAAGGACCCCGAGGGCCCCCCCGAGAGAGCAACGGGGACAGGGGGTCTCCGCAGGACTGGGACAAGTCCCCTGCCAGCCCCCAGCGACGAGGACCCCGACATACCCCCGGCGGCGGGTCCCGTCCCCCCTCCCCGCTACAACTCACCGGATCCGGTAACCGTCCCCAGCCGGGGCGGGGGGGGGTCTCCGTCGGGTCCGGCTGCCCCCGCCGGTGCCGAGCTCTCACCTGGGCGCTGCCGTTCCGTGCCGTGCCGTGCCGTGCCGGGGCCGGGCCGGGCCGGAGCAGGCGAGATGGGACGGGGCGGGACGGGGCGGAGCGGCCGGGCCCTGCCCCCGGAGCGCTTGGGGCTCCCCGAGGGACGGCACCGACACAGCCAACCGGGGGCTGCTCAGGGGAAGAAGGAGCCCCGGGGGGACACACGGTTCCCGGAGGGATGCAGGGCACCCCGGGGGGGACAAGTTTTGGGTGGGCACGGTGCCCGGCGGGAGGGGGGTGAGAGCTGAGACCCCTAACGAGGACACGGGGTGTAGGGCTGGCACGGTGCTTTGGGTGCCCGTCACAGCCCGGTGGCGAAGGGGTGGCTGCCAGGGGGTCCCCAGGTGGGCGGGAGGCAGCTGCCAGCACCCCGGGGTGCATGTGGGGTGGGGGACACTGGCACCCGTTGGCCCCTCTGCCGCAGCCTGTGGCCCTGCTGGCACCGGTGACAGCGGCTGTCACCACCCTGGCACACGGAGTTGCCGCTTTCTTGAAGCTGCCCGCGGTGGCAACTCACTTCCAGGCTGGTGGGGCAACCTTCTAGGGGGTGCAGCAAGATCAGCATGGGGTTCCCCACTTGGGGGGCAAGAGAAGGGCCGGGGTAACCACAGCTTTGCCATCAGAGCCATGGGGGTTATGCCAGTTGTGCCCATTCTTTGCCTCACGTCCCTTTCTCCCCCCTCATCGAGGGCTGCCCGCGGTGGCAGGAGGTGCTGGCACTTGCTGCTGCTCCCAGGGAGGGAGGAAGATGCTTTTTTCATCCCAACACACCCCACAGATTTGCCTCTCCGAGCGCCCCGCTGCCTTCAGGCCATGGGGCTGGAGGTTCCCAGCTGCGCCCGGGGAATTTCTCCTCCATCTGAGCAGGGCGCTGCCTCCGGGAGGACTTTGGTCCAAGGAGGGGCCCAACATATCCAAAACGGGCTCCCTGGCCACCTGGCCAGCCCCAGCCCTCCCCGGCAGGGTTGTGCAAGGCCCCGGGAGTTGCGCTGGCCCCGTGCCTTACCCAACAGCTCCTTCCTCCGCCTGCGCCTCTCCCGCTCCCGGTTTCGACATGAGCTGGCCCCGGCCAGCTCAGCCCGGGGTTTTCTCCGCTCCCACCCTCCGGCGCAGCCAGCGCGGCCCCAGCTGCCTCACACTGCTCCCCAGCGGCTTTCTCATACCCAAAATTGGACCAGATTTTCCCCCCCCCACCAAGCTTGGCCATTTGCCCCCTTTCCCCTCCCCAGTCGACACCCATAAATGCGACAAGACTCTACGTAGGGTCCAGATAATGTTTATGAGCAAAGACAAGCGGTTACACTCTGGCAGGAGCATAAATACGGGAGCAGAGTCCCTGCTCTTGCCCTGCCGGGTCCTTCCCAGCTCCCTCGGTGTCTTGGTGCCACCCTGGTGGCTTTGTCCCTCCTTGGACACCGGTCCCAGTGCCCGCCAGGCAGCCCTAAAACGTGGGGTCGGGCGGTGCCCCCAGCGTTCATGGGCGCTCAGCCCCACACCAGTGCCTGGGGACGGTCAGGAAGGAGGTGGCCCCTGTGCAGCAAGCTCAGCATGGCTGGCTCGAGGGGCTGGTTTTGGGGGGCAGGTGCCCCCGTGCCAAAGGGAAGACCCTCCTCAGGCTGGGGGGCACCAGAGCCCCATGTCAGAGGGATCTCCAGGGGGTTGCACTTGAGCCCACTCCTCTGGGGTCCACTGCCCAGGAGCCAGCACACGAGCCCACAAGCACCCCAAAGGGCACCCCGAGTCTCTCCGGGGCTGCTCTGTGTCCCCATGGGGTCACGGGCAGGAAGGGGCCAGGCCCACACAGATGCCAAACAGGGGACAAACCTGCCGGGACCCAGCTCCTCCAGGGCAGAGGGATGGGCATTGCATGTCCCCGGGCCAGCCCTGTCCCCCCACCTTGGTGGTGTCACCCGCCACCTGCGGGCACGGCAGCACAGAGGTCCCCTGAGCACTGCCACATCTCCCCCCAAGGATCCCCACCTTGGCACAGCCACGGGATGGCAGAGAAAGGAGTATGCCAGGCACAGGCAGCAGGGCCCAGGGGCTCAGCTCCCCTCCAGCAACCTGGGCTACAGGCAGCCCCACTCCAGGACCCCCACAACCCGGCAGCCACAGAGGAACGGCAGCCCCCTTCCCCACCCCCCTGCTCCCAAACTGGGGGGCACTGCCTGCAGATGAGAGAAAGTCCAGCTCACCCCTTCCCCAGACAGCTCTGCACCCCGACTCTAACCCCCAGCTTGGCCAGTCCCACGGGTGGGTTTCCCCGTGCTCTGGGGTCCCACCATGCCCTCTCCCCTGGACTCACGGCCCGGGCTTCCCCGGGGGGACGGGCTCCCCAACACAGCGGGGGCCTCCCCCCCGGCTGGCACCATGCCCTGGGCGATGCCTGTCAGTATGTTTGGGGTGTGAGGATGAATAGTCGGTCTTCCTCCTTGCGGATCCACTTCATGAGCTTGTTGACAGCACTGATGGCACCAGCCTTGGTGCCCAGGGGACTGTAGCACACGTAGAGCTCGAAGGCGTTGGTTACCTGGGTGAAAAAACAGGGTACAGGCTGGGCACACGCTTGCACCCCACTTGGGGCTGGCCCTGCATCCTCCCCCCACCATGGGAATGGGTACCAGCATGGGGGCTCTGGTGCAGGGACATGGGGTGCCAGCAGGGTACCCCAAATGGGTGGCACCTGCTTTGCTCCGAAGTGGGGGGAGCGAACCCCAGGGTTTGTGCCCAGAGTGGGTTTTCTCCTCAGCACTGGGGAGCTCACGACAGCGCATGGCACAGCTCTTGGTGCCAGAGCTCTGCTGCTATCCCTGGCACAGGGGTACACGGCGGCAAGGCTGACCCCCCAAAAGGACCACGCGTGGGCCAGGGGCCACCCTGGGGACCACAGAGTTGGTGCTGTGTTGTGCCACCACCCCCTCACTCCACCACACGTCACCAGAGAAGACAGGGCCACCTGAACCCCACAGACAGCCCTTACCCAAGCCAGGAGGTTCTCACGGGGGCCTGTGAAGTAGATGTTCTTCAGGGGACGCGAAGAGTTGTGGGCCCGGCTGTGGAGGTACTGGTAGAGCCCCAAGAGCCTTTCCTTCTCCTCCTCCTGCACGTAGGGTGCCTCAATCTCGGGGCTGTAGGAACACAGCACCCCGTTAGCCCCCCGGAGAAGGGGATTTATGGAGAAGGCCCGATGCCCCACGCCACGGCCTTGGCCTGACCGTTTCCTGGGGGCCTCACCTGGTGAAGAGCCCAGAGCTCTTAGACTTGTAGATGAAGTGCCGGAGGTCGGGGATGCCCACCTGGGCAACGCTGTAGAAGGGGGTACGCAGGGCCTCCTGCAGAGCGTGGTGCACCCCCCGCCGCCGCAGGCGCTCCTGGAAGCGCCGCTTACAGTCGGAGACAGTGAAGAAGTCCTCGCGGTCGGTGGAGACCAGCAGGAGGCACAGGTCCATCTCCTGCTCCAGGTAGGAGATGTGGGCGTGGAAGAAGCCACTAGAGTTGAACTTGGGGAGGCAAATAGGAGTCCAGGCTTCACCCTCCCGGAAGGAGGAAGAAGAGCTGATGAGGTTGAAGAGCAGATGGAGGTCAATAGGGTGGAGGAACTGATCCTTCTTCCTCACAAGAGACACCAGCTGGTTCCCTGACAGGAGGATGGAGAAGACCAGGCTCTTGGCCTTGGCCTGCTGGAGGCTGGTGCTGACAGCGTCCCGAACGCTGGCGGCCAGGGGCAGGCAGCGCACGGCACCCATGAGGAAGCTGGGGTCGTGGGCCATGAGGTCCAGCAGGTTGTCGGTGATGCGCTCGGAGCCCGCCAGGAGCCTGCGCAGGTCGTAGTTCTGCTTCTGCTGGAAGATGTGGTTGAGCTGGGTCCAGGTGAGCAGGCTCAGGATCTGGTAGTAGATGTAGAGCAGCTCGTGGGCGATCTCCTGCTCTGACTGCCGGGTCCGCGCCACTGCCACCAGCACCAGCGGGCTCCTCCGCACGAAGACCACCTTGTAGCCATCTGTTTGGGAAGGAGTCCCCGGGGGGGCCAGGGACAGACCTGTAAGCCTGGTGCCCCCGGGCTGCAAGAGAAAGCCAGGCTGCAGCCTCCCCCCCAGCAACCCATCTGCTCCTGGGGACAGCTAAGGTGGCCCACAGTAGCAGGAGCACAGCCAGGCAGGTGACACCCCCTCGTCCCACCCCCACCTTGGGGCGGTACCTGCGTGGATGGACCGGATGGCATTTTTCTCAGCCTCCAGGAAGGACACCAGGGCCATCATGACCCCCATGGTGCTGGAGAGGGCCTCCTCGGAGCCGTAGCGGGAGTACACGGGCTTGCCCGCCTCGCTCAGCACGAAGACGTGCTTGCGGTGCATGCGCCAGGCGTCCATGGTCACGTCCTCCTCCTCCTTCCCCGACAGCACCGAGTCGCGGCGGGTGGTCTGCGGGGATGGCTCCAGCTTCCCCTCCTTGCTCTGCCTCATCTCCTCCTCCAGGTCGAGGGCCATGCCCGTGAGCTGCGTGCTCAGCTCGCTGAAGTCCTTGCTGATCTGCTCCATGCTGGTGGGCTCGCCCGGTTCCCCCTGCCTCTCCTCCGGGCTCCGCGCCGCCGCCGCCCCGTCCTCGGGACTCGTCAGGTCCTCATAGGAGCGGGTGTGCACGAACATGGCTCCCTCCTGGCCCGCCCCTGGGAACAACGGGCCGTGCAGCGTCCGTCCGCCTGTCCCCCACGTCGAGACAGCGGGCGGACGGAGGGTGCAAAAGGGGCTGGGGGTTGCAGGGAGGGACCTGCCCTCCTGTCCCCATCCTGCGGCACCCATGAGTGGGGGTCCTGCTGGTGGGGAGTCACCAATGGGCCTGTCTCCCCCCACCTGTGGGGCTGTGGTGGGCGCAGCTCGCACAATGAGGAGCTGCTTTCTTTTTCCCCTGGTTTACCCAAAACAGCGAGCTCTGCCCCATACCTGGCTCTGTCCCCTGCGCCAGCCCCGGCGTGGGGCTCTCGGACCGCTCCGCGTGCTGCCCATCTCCCGGCGCCAGGGACCCGTTGGGCACTTCCCAGCCTTTCTTCTTGTGGACATCCGCAGCCATTCCTCAGGGGCAGGACCTGCGTGTGACCCACAGCCTCACCCTCCTGTTCCCTCACCCACAAAACCGGTCCCCAAAATGCTCTGTTTTTGAGCCGGGGCCGCGCATCCAGCATCCTCGGCCCCATCCTGCTGGCTCAGCAGGCAGCACCGAGCCCTGGTGAGACGTCAGGAAAGCCGCTCTAATCCAGCAGGATTTCCTCCCGCCTGCGGCCCCAGCTCCTTCCAGCCCCCTGGGCCTCGGCACCTTTCATCCAGGCTTGGCCCCGATTTCCCCCGAGCTCCAGGAAAGCCGCTCAGCCTCCATCCGCCGTGTCCGGGCAGCCAGGGGGAAGGGAACCGGCCCCGGATGGGGCTGGTCCCCACACACCGACCATCCCAGCGCCCTCATGTTTGCAAAGGGCGGGTTTTATGGCCCTCCTTGGCCTGGATTAGGTGGCTGAGATGAGGCCAGGCTGGTTGGCGCTCCTCCTGAGGTCAGGGTCGCTCAGACGGCGTAACCCACTGTGAGAGGGGCGACCACTTGAGCCCCTGCCCCGTGGGTCAGCCCTCCGGCGTGGAGGGCAGAGCCTGCCCGTGCCTCCAACCCCCGCCTGGGGAAACCGGCCCCAAAGTGAACTCACAGGCACAGAAGCGAAACCGGCAGCGGGAAGCCAGGCTGACCCCGGGGCCGCTTCGGTGCCAGACCCTCTCCAGCCTCCGAAACCAGCCGGCGGAGAGGCCCCGGGATCCCAGCTTTGCTCGGTGACCTCTCCCGCCAGACCCAGCAGGTAGCACCACACCTGGGGGGGGCTGGAGGGGCACACCCCGACCCCAAAAGCCCGTGACACCCCCCAGTCCTGGAGGGTGCTGGGGTTGTGGGATTAGGGCCTGGCCCTCGCCC